GTCAGTCGAATAAGATTAGTGTGTATCAAAACCACGGCTGCAGTATTTTAAATGAGTTGAAGGGGAAAGCAATAATAGAGGCAGGCTGATAAACAGCATGAATGAGGCTTTGTGCAGGACGGAGCTTACTTTGGAAATGTAAATAAAACAGCAAAAAATGATTGACGTGTTTTAAATTTCTTTAAATCTTTGTGCTGATAATCATTTTAAACCCAATGTGATGATTTTTAGACGCGTCCATTGTAAAGCAGCAGGTCTGGGTTTGTGGTTAATGTTTGTATTGCTGAAACTGCTACACGCACGCACACCTCCACGGTCACGTGTTTTTACATGCACATTTGGCATTCAAATGTTTACAGCAGAGAGGCTCTCTGTGGTGCGCTCGGCCTCACAACTATTTCCCTAAGCTGTGCTGTCTAAAGCCACACAGACTGGGCTCGCCACTGCAGGTAAGACGTGTTGGTGGTTGTAAGGGTTTAGGTAGCGGGGGACGGCCCCCTAGTTACCGGAAAGCTTTTCATTCTAGCATGGCACATAATGCACATTTAAAGTAAACGCCGATTATCCTAAAATGAAAAGAGTTTATCGACTGTGGCTGGCGAACTAATTAGCTCTGAGAGTTGGTGGAAAACTCCAGTTAACTCATTTTAAAACGTCATGGATCAGTCTTTTTTTCATACGCGTGCAGGCTTGGCTCGCCTCAGTTTGAGTCGACGCACCAGGACTGGTATCTTGGCACAGCAAGGGTTTGCATTTCCCCAAAAATATGGTTATTGGCTTGGAGGTGTGTATTTACAGGCAGAGCGCCGCGATGGTCGAGAGAGCTCAAGATTGAATGAAAAGAGAGAGATCGGAGCCGCTACCTAAGCTCTGCGCCGGTGACAGTCACATTTGACTTCCTGTAAATTCTTCACAATAAATGTCTCCGGTTATTTTGTTATTTAAACTCTTTTATTATGAAGCAGTAAAATAAGGAAATGTTGGGTTTCCATCAGCAGTACCTTAAAGCGACTCCTACGCAGCTGAAAGCGAACATGAAACAGTAAAATAAAGCAGAAATCAAACAAACAGGAGTGAAACTGAACTTCAAACCACAGAGAGTCAGTTAGAGCTGAACACTCAGAGACAAACGTCTGTCTCTGCTCTCCTGTACAGACACAAGTCTGAGTCGATGGGGTCGTCGCAGGTTGGTGAGAAGCCACCGCAGCTCGCTTAGAGGGAGGTCGGACGTGCTTCGGCCACACTCCGAAGAAAGCCCATCTCAGGCACAACTCGGAAGTTTAAACTAAGACTGTGAATGCAAATTGGAGCGGCACTGTTTGACTCAGCACGGCCAAAAGTGCTACTGGAAGAGCCCTATTAGATATGCACGAGGTGGCTGCAGCAGGGCGGCTGTGGCCCGGGAGGTAGAGCCAGCTGTCAACTGAACATTTCCCAATCAGTGCATCACTAGATAGCATGGTAGCTTGCTGACTTATTCAGGGAAGTTTCACTGAGAGGAAGAGTTTCTTTTGCAGGAGCTCTCTAACCACAATCGTTTAGTTACACACATTAATAACTGGAAGCTGCCCAGTACAACCACAGTCTGATCAGCTGGCTACTGGAGCACTTGGGAGGGGCAAGAGCTGCTTTTTCACTTTCCCCACCCGGATTTCGGTCACAAGCTCGCTTCTGTAACCTTTAGAGAAGGTCAACTACACAAAGTTGGAGCCGGGACAGCAGACGATGCTTCAAAAACAGACGCTGCTGTAGAGAAGCTCCTAACTCTAAACGGACGCTGCTATTGATCGGTCAGGGCTCATTGCACTGTAACAAAGACATCCACCTTACTGGAGACCAAACCAACTATTACATCACAAGGATTAAGCTGGGGATGGCTGCAGGTTGATTACCTGGAATGTAAATGTCCCAGAGGCAGAGGCACATTGACTGCGCCTGGTAACAAGTGTTTTCTGGGAGACTGGCTAATGAGAGCTGAGAGCTGGACTAATGACCAGCAGCAACCAGGGGACGAGCTCTGGCTCAAAGGAAGACAGTAAGATTGATAAGCAGGGAGATGAGAGAGGAGCAGGGCAATAATGCGGCTGCAATAAACACCAGGCATCAGGAACAATAGAAGCAGAAATGCCCCAAAAATTCACCGGTTCTGGATCACGAATGTGCAGATTTTCTGTTTTTTATAAATTAATGAATTTGGGTTTGTTTGTTTTTTAAATATTTTTTAGTGCCTAAACAATTAGTGGATGTCAATACGGGTTTATTCAATTGTTTTTGGGAGTCAGGGGGCAGCTCCATCGGCTCGAAGAAAAAAAGTCAAATAGTATTCAGTCTTATGGAGAAATGGTTTCTCAGTTGATTTATGAGCTCAGTAAACAGTTTCCTAATGAGTTTCTGGTCTCAGTCTCTAGTTTCAGT